GAGTAAGAGAAAGAGAGAGAGAGAGAGATTTGTTATTTTGATTTTGCACAATAAGATCTCAAGGAAAATAGAAATATGAACAAAAATAAAAAACCATGAAATATTAAGGAAATTGTGAGGAATAGCGCAGCATCAGACATTTGCATTATGTTGTACACACACACACACACACAGATGACAATGTTTCTGAAATTCGCCAAAAGGATCATGAGATTTTCAAAGAAAATTTTCATATATGGCCCCCCAAGGTGAAAAAACTAAAGGTCTATTTCAGTACCTCTTCAAGGCGTAAGGAATTTCTTTGCATAATCTATTTCTGAACCCAAGCTTGGCAGCTTTCTCAAGCTCAATGATAAGTTGGTAACAATCCTGCAGTATGATGTGCAAATTAAGTGACCATGATACTTTTATTGCTAGTTACCATCATTCCTTCAAATAATGGCTACTTCTATAACAGAGAGAAATAGAATTTCATTCTCTCTCAATAACTACCACAGGCCTAAACCAAGTAACTTCAACAATCAACTCAAGTATCTTTTTTTCTTTTTTCAGGATAAAGTGATAATCAACTCAATTATCTTAAAAGACAAAGAAATACATGTGGTTTACTTATTAAACAGGGAGCGAACGAAAGCAAATTTGCATACCTCAATGGCCATGCATCCTCCTTGCCCTAGATTTGGTTGCATGGCGTGAGCAGCATCACCCAACAGCGTCACATGACCTTTGCTCCAGGTACCCAACATATCTATTTCATAAATATCTCTCCGAAGAATCGTGGTTTCTGGAGTTTTATGAAGTAGGTCTACAACTAGATTGCACCAATTTCCAAATAATTGAAGAAGTCGTCTTTTTTTACCTAAATCATTCAATAATAAATATATTCAACTGCAAATGTAATATTTTCAATGTGAATACTTGACATGACAATTCAAAAAACAAAGACATTCCAAACCAAATCCAGATTACAAGCTCCACTAAATGACCTGAAAAAGAATATGGGCCTGCAAAATATCTTTTCTAGACGAACCAAAGGTGCGAGAAGGATATTAAGGATTTGAAATACTTGATTAAAATGAGAGTGCTACTCAAACTCAATATCCCCATAGGGCTACCAAGCATTTTGAGAGCGTACTTTAGAGTGAGAAATACCGCTTCTTTCATGCTAAGTTTATAGAGGAGTGGAAGGATTTGAATATATCTCCAAATACACTTGATCCTTCTGATGCATAACAGTGCTGTTGCTAGGCTAAAGAGCAAGCCCACTCCTCTCTATAGATTATATCTACTAAACGCTAGACACGCTCTATAAGAGAGAATTGAAAGGTTACTATATATATTCTCTTTTATTCACGAGAGAAGCATTTGTAGCACAAGGAAGCATCAGCTAAGTATGATATATAGCATTGGCACGGAGGTCTGAGTACCATGCAATACACATTAAAGCGTTGGATCAACTTGTTTAAAGCATTTCACTAGCAACATAGAGCATCACTCCTTTTTTTTTGGGTAATTCAGTGGGGAAGATGGGCCCCTACCCGTTTTTTCATATAGATCAGGGAGTTAGCTTTTGAAGGTCTCAGTGGGTGGTGTCGGCAGGATTGGAAACAACAACATGGTAACTGGGTATGGGGTGCTACCACCACGACCCAGCCCCTTTTCTTACATAGAGTGTCACTCCTGAATCTTGATCCAGTATAAGTAGCCATCTATGCAGAAAATAAGGACAGCAGCATTAAGTATCTCTAAACAGGTCACAAGGGCAGGTAAAAGGACATGCCTTCAGGAGGATCACTATTTCCAGGAGGCTCGTAGTGGAATGCATACCATTGCGTTTTTCCATCTCCTACATCCATAGTAACAAAAAATTGCTTGTAACCCAGAAAGACTCGATACCTTCACAGAAAAACATCAAATTTCAAATATTATTCATCATGAGACCAATGAAAATTGCATCGACCAATGAATGTCATAATGATAAAGTAAAAATATTCTTCAAAAGAAAATGTGACTTACACAATAATAGGTGGAATCACAGATGATTACAATATGTTATTTAAATTGAGATACACTTACCCAACTGTCTCATTATCTGGCGGTACAAATTCTGTTAAGCCACTGTAGCATGTATAACTTGAATACTTAACATCCTGCTTCCCAAACAACTTTCCACGTACCTAAGAGAAAATTGAATAAGCTGGTTACAAACAAGGAAAATTCGGACAGCTGCCACAAAGAACTGTATAATAACAGGCAGCTGCCTGGACAGGACAAAAATTTTGTTCATGAATATTTTGTTTGTAATCTAGAATTTCACTATGGGGCAAAGAGATAAAGAAATTTAACAACCTCAAAAATATATTAAAGATGGACCGGAGCAGCTTTTCAGAAAATAGAGGTATCATAAAACTGGATTGGAGAGGATAAAAAATCCATTCTTTCCATTCATCAGGTACTTAATACACCAGAGCATGAGTAAAATAACTCAGATCCATATGTCTGCTTTACTGATTTATGATTTTCCCCTTGAACGAGTAACTTCACCAATATAAATAAAGACCTACAAAGTGAGTTACCTTTGACCATATTCCATCTGCACCAACCAACACATCACCTTCATATTGTTGGCCATTGCTAAGAATTGCAGTAACCTGTTTTATAGTTTTGAAGTTAAGAAGCATTCTGATATCATGGTAATGAAACAACAATACAACCAAGGGGAAGTATACTATAAAAGTATAGACTATGAACAAACCGCAGTACATTTGATTCATCTTTGTTTTAGGGAAATGATCAACAATGACAGAGAGAGAATTGGACATTAAGGTAGTGTCCTATTCTGGTGGGTCCTCCATTAAGTTCCTTCCCAACCAATTAGATTCCTTACATATTTGAAATTCAAAAGAAATCTAGCATACTAAGTAGAACAAATTTTCTCAAAGTGTTGCAATCAAATGATCTATTGTGAGTAAAAGATATCCACATACAATGCAGTGGCCAAATCAGCAAAATCCAAAGCATTTAAGTGATCCAAACCTTGGTGCCATCATCTGTGAAGTCTACAACATTAGACATGTTGTAAACAACATCAGGCCCAACAGCATCCATTAATATTTTTTGCAAAGTTATCCTACTGATAACTCGTGTGAGTGGAAGACCCCTCTCTGCAGCAGGAGTAAAATAATCATACCGAACAAACCTACAGCATCCCAAATAAAGGGAAAATAGATGAGTACACAACACAAGTTCACAAGTCTGAATGTTAAACTCATAAGATAGTAGGGTAGAGAGCTTTTCTTTTCTGAAATACAAAGAAAATTACATGTTCAATATAACCACAGCATAAAATTAGGATACCTACATGGGCGAAAAAGCACAAATGTGAAACGATTACTAAAAATCAGGGAAAGAAGGTATACAATTATCAGTGATGCGATAACAGAAAACTTCATGACTTGCAAATTTGAAATGCTAAAGCATGAACCAGAACAAGAATTTGAGAGCAATTCATGGCCTGTAACTCTTCGTGGTTCAAGGATCATGAAGATATTCTAAAAATTTTCATCCAATAAGAAAATCACAGGACCATTCTTTGGTGGATTTTCAAATCTCTTTATCACTTAATTCTGTTTTTGTCTCCACACAAGGTCAATGTAGTCAAAATATCTTCTTTGATATTGGTAAAGGAACAACAACAGAATGTGGAAATAATAGAAAGGAAAGTACGGTTTCGTTGGAATAGAGCCAACTTCGTAGCAAGTCCAGGGAATATAAACGTTTCCAATACAAAAAACAAGTGAATCAAAACTAGGCAAATCCAATTAGGACTTGCTAGAGTTACTCGATCAGCTGCCGTGTCTGGAACCATACCCAAGGGAACCGGCCTAGATTTGTTGGGTACCAATATTCTATTATTATTGTTTTTAATACCTGCTCAAGTCTTTGACAGACCTGACTCAGACTCAGGACCCTAGAGAGTCACAACCCTAGTCCTTGTTTTAAACCATTGCACAAAACTATAGATGATCATTACGAAAACTTATCAAAATGCACCTAAGAGATGAACTATTCAACATTTTACCCTTTTTTTATTTAATTTCAAAAAATCCCATCAAAATATACATGGTCATAAATTAGAATAGCTGAAAATGGGTAAAATGTTAAACAAATTGATAAGTTATGTATATTTTGAAAAAATTTCCGGACAGTTATTCCAAGAAAAAACACAACATAAATATAACTCAAACGAACAGAAAGAGAAACATAACATAACCAATCTACAACACTCTGAGGTAACCAGCAAACAAAACAACCAACAAAAAATTGACTGAAAATTCACTAATGTATCTTTGGACAATAATGCAACCTTATTTTCTTCATGATATTCTAATAAATGTGCCACCAAGGTTTACTTTCTAGTGTGACCAATGCTTTCTCCAAACTTTGTCAAATCCATTTCCTTAGAGGGTAATCAAAATCCCAATTTCTTGTATGAGTCATAATGCTTTGCTTCCTAGAAGGGCCAAAACTCATTTTGAACCCATAAATACTTTATTCATCAGTTTTATATTAAAATTGTCCAAAGTCTTCTAGGTTTCAAATATTGATCCGGACCCTATCTTATTGAACAAATAGCCCACGACACTTGACTTCTTCCTTTGAGATGCACACAACGGCAAGATTCTTGGTAGAGGACAAGAGATTGGCAGATTTTTCTATTTAAGTATCACGTATCTCCTTACTCATCACTTCAAAATGGATCCAAGAAAACATACTCCCACCAACTTCAAAGCTATTCACTTTATAATATTCACTTTATTAATTTATTTTGTATTTAATATATGTTTTGAAATATGCAATATCTCGTTGAACGAATCGGTATGTATAAATCTTGAGTAAGTAAACCCAACTAAACTTCTGCCATTTGAAACAGTGCACACTGGATATCATGGAAACAATTTGTCACAACCAAAATTAAGGATAAAAGATAAAATTTGGTCAAGACAATAAATTAATGGGAAAAGTATATATAAGGTTGCAACCTTAAAATGTAGAATTAAAGATGCACCTAAAAAATCCATTGGAAAATGTCGCTTTAATGTTGAAAAGGACTCTACTTGATCATCTCAACATTGAGATGTATAATATGAGAAAAAAAATACTCTTGAGTTCCAAAAATAAGGTATCTTGTAGACCGTCCATTTTAAGATTTTCATATGTTTATAGATCGACTTGATTTTAACCATTTTTTGAGTTTAAAATTTTATAATTAGATGTGAAGATAGATTTTTGGATAATCCTAATAATGTTTTATACCAAAATTACATGTTACGATAAAATTTGGAGGTGCGCCTTAAATAGGCTTATGATAAAATAGGCTTACCACTCTCCTGAGATGCCATCTATCATGCCATTGATTCGATTGCCATTAACGCAACCAGCGTCCATTACTCTCTCTGCAACTTTTTTATCAATGGCTTGTAACACAGCTAAGGCATTACTCTGTAACTGAATGGACCCTCTATATCTCCCCTCTCCTCTCACTGCGCTTAAATTTCTCTCGAAAACCATGACATCGAAACCCCTATTCTTCGCAGCCAATGCAAGAACCAGGCCTCCAATCCCTCCTCCTGCTATCAAAATCCTAGGCTTTTTCACCCCCTTGGCGAAATTCTTCTCCAGTTTAGAAGGAGAAACTCCATTTCCATTTTGTTTCTTCATCAAATTGTTTTCTCCTTGAGAGGCCAGTTGCTCTAACTGCAAGGCACCATGGAACTTGGAACGACTGGAACGAGAAACCCTAGGGTTTTTCTTCATCCGCTCATGTGAATCCTCCTCCAATTTTAGTGAACCTCCAAATGTATCCCAGTGCTCCCTCATTAATGCTCCATGAAAACTAAGGCTGAAACCAGCCGCTTCTGAATTCAAAACTCTAGCTTTCTTCATCACCACCCCCAAATCTCCCTCCAATTTAGCAGAACCTCCAAATTTAGCACGATAATGGCCGAAACATGCTCCAAGTGAAGACGCCATGGATAAAGTGGAGAACTTCCTTTGAGACGATGAACTGCGAGCCTGCAAACATACAGAGATTTAATGATTTCATAGTCTTTTTCCATGAAAAAAAGCGCGGCGGAAATGGTGAGACAGCAATCAGATATCATCATGCATCTCTTCTCCATTTCTATATAAATTTCTCTTTCCTTTTCCATTTCTGAACAAATTTATCTGCAAATGTCCATTAGTAATCTTTATCTTTTCCAATTCGCGACGAATCTCTCTTTCAATCAGTTAAAAGAGCCTGCATCTCTTTTGCATTACTGAATAAAATCCTATATTCTTTACCATTTTAAGAGCATTACCCTTTAAAGACACTTTTTCGAAAATGGAAGTCTCTTTATGGAGAAAGAGTTAAGAAATAGCAGAGATCGATCAGAAAACAGCTTACGAGATTGCCACGTCACCAGATTTCGTTAAAAGGGTAAATTATCGTTTTAACCCTGCAAAAATTCAATGGGACAAATCAATGGTTTAAAAAACGGATCGGTGACCCGGATCGGGCTTCCAAAAAACCTATCCGGATCGACGAATCGGCGATTCGGATTAAAAATCGGGTGAATCTGTCAGAATAAAGCTTAAAAAAAATTCGAAAAAATTATTAAAATTCATTATAAATATTTTTTTTTAGGAATTCAATAAAAAATGAGGGTACTCCATTAAGAATTTTCATGTTTTTGAATAAATATGCGAATATTGATATGTTCTTTCCCTGCATGAACCGCCATTCAGCATTTAATTTACAGTATTTCGGGCTCATCCCTACACTGTTGCTGTTGGGACTCGATATGTGAATAATATGGCTGGGATAGGGTGCCCTCAGAATCATCATCTCTCTCATTTTCTCTTTGAATAATATAGATTAAAAAAAAAAAATAACAAATTTTCAAAAAAATCGATCATGGATT